ATCTAATTTTGTGGCAGCCAGAGGCTTACAGCTCCATTCAGCTTTGATTTTCGTCCAGTTCTGCCACTCGATGTGTAACTCGATTTGTGAAAGGAATTTAAATATTTTCACGGAGAAAACAATAAATTTTCCCACGAAAAATCACTGTTATAAGCTGATGGAAAAACGCACAAAAGCTAGAGAGAAAGAGAATGAAACGGAATTCGAATGGAAAAGTCCTAAGGGCAAGTGAAAAAGCAAAATAATTAAATTCATTTACTTTTCATTGGGGCCTCGTTTTGAACTCGATCAAGTTTTGTTCTTTAAATGTTTTATATTCTGGATATTTTCTGCTCAATTGGTTTGTAGTTTTCGGAAGATCTTTTCTGCCTTTTGAAGTTCTGCAAATAATAATTTTGCTGAATAATGAGAATATATTTGATGGAAAAACGAGCATTATTTCTGCTATAGTATAAGATTTGAATGGTTTTGTTGAGCCATTATTAATGTGTAATGGGTGCATTGCACCATTTGCCTCGTTCTGGATTGTTTTTCTGTGTTCTTATACTGTGCCACTTAAATGGGACTCAAAATAGAATTTAAATACCAGAAAATTGTCTGCCCAACGCCTATTTGCACTCTTCCAGACCCACTGCTTCCAACCCGTCCGTCCGTCCCGTACGAGGGACATAACCAATTCCAACGTCATTCATTCGCATTTGCTATTTCCGTTTTTCCTGGCCGTGTTGCTGTGTTGGCATTTCATTTAGTGCACAACTTCACATTTGCCTCAGCCGTTGTCTTTCCCATTTCCCACTTTCCACTTCTCTCTATCTCTCTATCTCTCTCTCTCTCTCTGTCTCCATTTTTCCCCGCTCCGTCAGTGCAATTGCCATTTCCGCTTCCTGAAATTTGCCATTCGTTACACACAGAAGAGCACAACAATACACGGACACACCAGGAGTAGAAAGAGCGAATCAGACACTGAACTGAAACCGAAACTCAAACAGGAGCAGGAGCTGGGGCAGGGGCAGGAGCAGAAGCTGGAGGCAGAAACAGAGGAGAGGCCGTTTCCCGCCTGCACCGACATTTTCATTTCCATGCTTGGGCGCATCGCAGCGAATCAATTATTCATCATCATCGATTAAGTAACAGGGGCTTTCGCCCTTCGAAGAACCATTCCCCCAGTCTCTGGCCCAGTCCCAGGCACACTCCCAGGCCCAGGCCCATTCGTGGTCCTGTCACACTTTTATTGTTATGATTTCTGCCGTCGGTAATGGGCACACTTGAAGGACTCCTCCGGCCAGGAGCCACAGCAGAGACAATAAGAGGACCTGCTGGCTGGCGGGGTTGCTCCATTTCGCGCGAATACCCAGTACCTCTATAGAGCAAGGTATATTGGGGTATAATAATTAAAGCAGAGGTCCCAAAGTTATATTTTTTAATTTTTGCATTCGTTTCTTACGTTTTACTCTATCTGTGAAATTGGTACAAAATTCCATCTCATACCGATACGATGAATCGCATGGAATCAGAACAAGAATGAAGAGAGCCTGCTATCTGCATCTGGAGAGGTATCCCACAACCGATACCCTCGTTCTGGCTGAAGTGTCGGTTTTTATGTGATTTTAATGAGAACCGCTGGGTCCTGGGCCGAAACTAAAAGCTGAGATTCATATACCCATATCCGGGCATGTCGATGGGAATGTAACTACGAATGAATGTTCATGTGTGTGTGTGTGTGTTTGTGTTTGTGGCATATGGGTGAGAGTCATATATCTGCTGAAACATAACAATACTCGTACATCGTACATCGCGAGGGGAGATAATGTTGGGGGGGGATAGAAGAGAGGGAGAGAGACTGAACGCATGTGCCGGTGCCCCATATCATTCGGCTGTGCCCCGGCTCCATGTGCTTATTTTCGCCATTATCCATTAAACATTTATGAAAATTGCTTTTGCTGCAGTTTTATTCACTTTCCCGTTTCTTCACTTTGCATGCGGCGTGTGGGGAATCCCAATCCTCCCACTTTTGGGACGGACCCGGCATCGAAACGGACGGCATTCAGCAGAAAGTGGGGATGGTAAGATGGCAGGAGCAGGCGCAGGAGCAGGAGCAGCGGGCCAGTAAAACAATAAAGCTTAAGATTTCAATTTCCTTAGAGCTTAAAGCTGACTCTTGGCTTGTGCTCGCTCGCCCCCTTTGGTCTTTTCCTTTTCACATAAATCTTGCGAAGACATGTGCCTAGATGATAATCCAACATTATGAAAAACGCTAGCTGCAATAAATATGCGCATCAATGGCGCCACTTTTAATAGCCGCATGTTCAACGAGCTGCAAGTCTTTCCATAATGAAATACGGCTCACTCGATGCTGATGCCTCTCTCCCCACGCAGGCGGAGGGAGTCTCAGGGGAAGTGGATAAGAGTTAGCTGGAGAGGCAGTTTCTCCCAAGGCTCTATGCCTCTAGGCTAAGCTGCCAAAAACTATCCATAAATCTAAAATAAACGCAATCGCTTTATAATCAAACAAACGGACGAATAGTTTCCCCGACGGTCCACTTTTGACGCCCTTTGACAACCCCTGGTGGCACATCCGCCTCCTGAATGCTTAACTAATCAACCGCCTTGGCACTTGCCACTTGACAAGCCACCCACCTTCGAAGTGATTACGTTGCTGGCACACGTTTCAGCTATCTAAATTTCAATTAGAGTTTAAACCACCCAACGGAACGAACTGAGTTGAGTGAAGCGCCCAAGGGCTGGTGAAGCTTGCCCGTGGCAGGAACAGGTAAGCGTTGCTCCTCTACCTCGAAGAAGGCGCCTCATTAGTTGCATGTTCATGTGCGGCAACATTTTTCATGTGCTTAAATCACTCGGAGATTGCAGCACTGAAAGGAAGTGGGCGTGTGGCTGGGAAGTCTCCCACTATTACTCATCCCCCCCCCCCCCCCCCCCCCCACTCCCAAGGAAGAAAAAAACCGCCCGTTGGAGTCCTTCATATATTTACAATATACATTTTTCTGCATTTTTTTGGGTGGGTTCCTTGGGAAACGACGCATCATAAATTTGTTGGGCGGGATTTCGGTTTTCTCTGCGAGGGTTTCTTCTCTGAGTAACGATACTTAATAAACCCGCATCATTTTCCCATTTCGTACTCGCACTTCATGCGATGCTTTCCCTTCTGCCACCGCCACCGCCACCTCCACTGCCACTTCCACATCCTCTTCCTGTTGTTGCTGTTGCCACCAAATTACCTGTCATTTCGAAATTATGATACCAAGGAATCGCTGCTGGCTACAACTGAGGGGGGCTGCGGTCTCCTCCTTTCTGCTTTCCGGATCTTGGGAACAATTTTTATGTTTATGGCTAAGAGCGTCTCCTAATTTTATTTTGTCACCGCTGCCACATACTCGTATCTCAAACTAATGCCAGCGCCGCAGAACAGAATGTAAAACCTTATGCGCACTTTCCGATTGTAATCTGTGAGCGGAAAACGACGAGGGGGGGGGGGGGGGGGGGGGGGAGTACCCAGCCTCTGTGGGGAATCCTCCTTCTCAAGGCTGAATCCTGTCATCAGGCCAGGCATCCCACATGCATGCGGTTTTTTTCATTCCATATAACTTGACAGCCACATCATTTCCCGTCGAATTGGACATTATAGGGAAGACGCCAGAGTAAACATGCCTCTGGCATTGCGAGGGACGAAGGACTATTATGGGATTTACTTCTTGTCCGAAAGCCGACAGATGATGTTTTGATTTGTGTGGAGCGAGAGAGATGACCTGGAAACCTGGGAGGACACATGAGCACAGATTACCGAATACAAATCGAAAATTTACTAAATATACATCCACACATACATATACATACATACTTATTGTAGGTGTGCATTCGGAAAAACATATTCCATTAAGTTGACACAAAATTGTCTAATTATAGAAGTATATATAGAAGAGAAGCAGCTCCACAGGCGGCTGAGGGGAAATCAAAAGGTAAAGAGTGGAATTCTCGAACATTTCATGTATGAAAATGTACAACTTTTATTGATTCTTATTCTAGAATCTAGATCATCGGTCGGCACGCACACACGCATATATCTTACAGAGGGCGATAATGAGTCTACAGACAGCTCAACCGCGAACTAATACAAATCCTCGATGAACTACAACAACTACAAACACAGCAGTCGGAGTCCAAGGCATCAGTAGAACACAGAAGGCCATGCCTAGAGGCAATCGGACAGTTGAACATACATTATGCCTTTGGATAAGCTCGAAGTCCAGCAACTTTCAGACTGATCCTTTCATAGAACACAGCCTGGAGCTTCTACACTAGGTGGGTGTATCCAAAGAGCAGTTGGAGAGAATTTTTGAGTCATTCAAATGGCAGGATCCAAGGGTACAGGAACCACCTGTGACATTGTGTGGAGTATCCTGATTTGGCATGGCATCATGTCCGGCGAACTTCGCCCACCGCACCTCTACAAGATAATCCTCTAAATTTAAATTAAGATAAATTACTTCATATTACGATAAGAGCTAACTGTTCGTTGGTCAGATGACAAGGGGAGACCAGTTCCCATAGAGGCGGCACGGAACCATTTGATGGGATTCAGCTGTGCCCACAGAGACAATATGCCTGAAAATTGCAAGCAGCGAATGCCTAATGACCGACCAGGGAAAGATACAGATGTTCAAGTAATGAAAACAAGATTGCATTGCTATCTGGACATGGCTGTGTGTGTCAGAAATAATAATTATATTTGTTCAGATTTATACGTATTTGAATTTCGAATTTTAATGTTGATGTGACACACTTTTGGGGCAAGGCTTGCTCGTGTTTTTACAGCCTTTAGTATAAAATTGGGGAATTTAATGACACATAAACTTGTCCCCGAAATGTTTCAGAATTTGATTTACATATTTCTAAAATTCAAAAGCACATCAAGTGGGTCAAGCATGCTGACAGACTGAAAGACTGACAAACGGAGAGAAGTGTTGATATTGCAAACTTGTTAATTAGCCAAAAAAAATAAATGTTTATTCACGATTAATCTACGCTAACTTATGAGATACTCGTACATGTACACAAATACTAGTAAAAAACCAAGGGACCCCTTCACTTCACGGAGCTGCTGAAGTTTTTCTCATTACTCAGGCAATTATTGCAAATGGTGCAGAAGATTTGCTGTGAAACGGAAACCGATTTGGTTACAGAATCATCAGCGATTCGATAGGGATATGGTACTTACTGGAAGAGAGGAGCGAGTGCCGCCGCCAGCCTGCGAGGAGCCGGTGCCCTCGAAGGTGCGCAGCCAGGACTTGATCACATTCGTGGGCGGTGTCTGGTAAATGCTGAACTGTTTCTTGAACAGCCTCTGGGCGGCGCTGATGGAGTCGTTGCTCTTGTAGTAGGCGCGTATGATGAACGCCCGGTGCACACCCGTCCACTGGTCCATTTCGACTGCAAATGCAACTGCAACTGCAACAACGCCATCCGGCGCCATCTGCTCTCCATCTGCTGCTGTGCATGCCATGTGTCGTTTGCCGCTGACCACAAAACTGCGGCTGGCACCACTTCCGGCTCATGGTTGACATAAAAAACGCTCTCTCTCTCTCTTATTAATATAAACAGAAGTCTAAAAAGAATCCATATATATTCATAATTATATGCGGGCAGGCAGATCTAATTGGTCGTGTAGTGCGACGGAGGCTCGGGCATACATACATACATACATACATAGGTGCATCGGCGTGCAGCTAAAATTATCCACGACACGGATGACGCGGCGTATGAGCAATTTGAAATTCTTGTTTGCTTGTCGCCAATAGTTTGTGGGCGGCACCGCCTATTTAAGTTTCAAGTGCGAATTGTTTTAACGTTCAGTGCCTCCTGCCTTTGCCTTCTGCACCACTGCCTTTGTATATCAATCAATCAATCAATCAATCAGGCGAGAGCATCATCATTATGCTTCATCAGCGTCGCAAAGCCCAGTCATCAAGAAAGGGCGTGACTGGGGGAGGGCCTGGAATCCGGGAAGTGCAAACCCAAAATCCACTTCAACTCATTTAAACTTTTTCGCTACATGTTGAATCCCCTTTGCGATTCGGCAAGTGAGTAAGCAGTTGGCAATGCCAAAGTCTTTAAGCCATTTCGTTGTCTCCATTGCCGTCTCTCTGGATACACTACCAACCAAGGGTCGTTGGCTTTCAGACAGGAATTAAATTCGGAAACTCTACATTAAATTCTATTTGTATTTTCACAAACTGGAACCCAATCAATGCCATATGAAGGGACATATTTTATACGTTATTTTTTCCCCCGATTTCTATTTATTCAGAGAGTGTATACAAGTTTTTCCATTTGGAAAATGTTCGTATTTTTTTCGCTCTCTTTTGCCGATTTTGTTTTAGAGATTTTTTTCGAGTCTCCATTTTGCTGGACCATCGAGCACGTAACTGCAATACAATGCACGGCCATCGAATAGATAGATACAGATACATTTATGTAGTATCCGTTGCTGTTGTTGTTCTTGTTGGTGTTGCTGTTGCTGTCGCTGTCGCTGTTGCAGCAAAGTTAGCAAATGTTGCTGTCGCTTTGCCATTTACACAGGGAGCTGCCATCTAGTCGAGGGCAGGCAGGACCAGGAAGGCAGCCGGCCAACCAGCCATCTATCCATCCATCGCACGTCCAGCCAAACCCAACTCTACTTGAGTGTTTCTGTGTTTGTGTACAAGCATCTGTATGGAGTGTGGATCTGTGTATCTGTGTGTGCGTGTGTGTTTGTATGGAGGGGCATCGTTCGTTTCTTTTTGCTGTCTCTGCTTGTCTTTTTGACACCTTCATTTGCTTCGAACTGTCAGCTCCATTCAGGTGGTGGGGGACTAGGGCTGCAGTGATTTTATTTGCTTTCGTAACTTTTTTATCCACCTCTGCCGCCTATAGTTTGTACGTGTGTGCGACTGGGTGTGCTTTTTTTTTTGCTTAAAATTCTTTGTTTAAGAAAAATCGTTTTTTTTTTTTCGCAAACAAGAATTTATCAAAGGAAATTAAATGTAGGTAAAAAATTAACCATATTATTCGTAAATTACCAAAAGAATATCCCTTGATCCCTTTTTGCATTTACCAGGATCCGCTTCCATACATACTCGTACATAGTTTCCGTTTTCTTTTGTCCTGTTGACCCTCCACCCCTTTAAGCCCGCTTCTCTGGCCTGCCAAGATATTGTAGAAAAATGCCCGGAAAAGAAATCTGGCCAACAAAAAAGCAACAACAATGCCAAGACAAATGATCCAATGACTGTCTCACTGCACTTTGGCCCACATCAACGGGCCGCAGCCCCAGAAACGGGAGAAAACCTAAAAGAAAAACGTATCAGGCCAAGGCACATGGCCCGAAGCTGTCTCAATATTCGGTAAGCGAGCAGTTTTTTTGTTGTATGTAAAGTTGGGGCTGGATTGGGGGTGGATTCGGGACGGGAGCCAACCTCTAACACTTTTTGCCGATGCTGATGCTGACGATGATGACAAAGGGCAGCGAATGGGGCAAGCTCTGAACTAGGTCAAGACTTTGTTGCTTATCTTTTTCGGTAAGTTTTGGTGGAGAGCGGAAAAGTGGACTCCCACACATATTTTGGAGCATTCTTCAGCTGGGGAAATTAGCAGGGAACTCATATTAAATTTTGCATCGCAAATACTGCGAAGAAGGTCAGGCCGATGGAGGCAGGGCAGGGAGCAGGGCAGTGGGTTGCACACGCCACTCAAGCCGGACGCTTTCATAAGCGATTCACTTTCCGGCAGGGCCGCAGATAAACACACTCACACACAGATACACAGATACACATGCAGAGGGTGAAATTCAAGGAGTCGGCATGGCTGTAAATCTGTGCTAAACAGGATGGGAGGCTCCGGCAGCTGCAGCACAGCGCAGCACAGCATAGCGCAACGGAAGCGGATGTGGATGCGGATGAGATTGAGGATGCAGCATGAGGGAGGAGGAGAAGGAGGAGGCAGCTGCTAAGACAGCAGCGTGGCACGCGCGGATGCTAGGCGTTGATAGCGGCAGCTTATCAGCTTCGTTAGAGCCAAGACCAAGAACCAAGGGCCAGGAGCTGCTACCGCCAGCATCCTGCCGGGGGACACATTGCGTGTGCGGGCATTAAAGGAGCATTACATTAAAGTGGCGGAGTGGAGGGGAGTGGAGTGGAGTGGATTGGCTTGCAGCTCGGAAGTCAAGTGAAAGTTGGTGGCAAGGACGCAGCCACTTACTTAGCTCCCTCTTAAGTAGGGTTACCTCACTTTCAAAGCGGATTCTTTAAAGCGTAAGTCGGGGATATCAGCCATTCAATAAGGATTCATGGGCGAGTGAGACTGCAAAAATACCTATACATGTATAGTTTTCAACAGAAACTAGCTTCAATAATCAGCTTTAAATCTAAGTCTAAGTCTCTAAGTCATTCAGAACAAAATTCGATAATATTCTTAGGGTATAATGGTCCTGAGCCGAGAAAGGCATAATTTTTAAAAAACAAAAAAAGTAAACATTTTCTATAAGGTTGAGGTGGCAGAGCTCGAAGTTGAGGTCCATAAGGCTGCATCAGCTGAAGGTCTTTCTCCACATTCCACAGCATAAAGGCCTCGTCCGGCAGTGACGTTGCTGGGTGCCCCATTCGACTCTTGCGCTGAGAGTACCGGTTCTCCTTAGTCACAAACAGCAGAACTTTGATCATTTGCATGGTCTCCTCATGGCTCAGCCCTGTGTCGCGATCCACATTGTGGTGAAATTCAGACGGCGGCGTTGTCCTACCTGGGTCAAATATTTGCTAATGACGATATTCCCGGCCTTCCACAACCACAACCTTCCAACTTTGAACTTTAATGCCCTTTCCTCCTTCCTCTCTTTTCATCTCTTCATCTCTCTTACTCTTGAATTTTGCCTGCTACATTGCAACTACACAGTGATGTAGTTGTAGTTGTAGATGTAGTTGCCATTAATAAAACAAAAAAATTCAATTAAATTACAATCTTATTAGTTTATATTTTTAGATTTAGTTCGCCTATTTTGATTGGCGAATCCAGGGATACAAATTTGTATGTTCCGCCAAAAAGTATGCACCATATAACGTCGTTTCAGAATTTCGTATCATGCTTTTTGGCTTTAATTTGGATGTAGAATTGATGTAAAAATCACGTAGATATACAATTTGTTGGCTGTAAGCAAGGTTCTTGTTCGCTGTTAGCACGTCCAAGAAAGGAATATTGCGGATAACGGTTTGTTATAATATATATATAAATCCCCTGTCCAAAAGCTGCAGCTGTTGCACTGGTTTTTCACTGCTCACCGTTTAATATCCCGAGATGGGCGTTAATTTCGTTCCAAATGAATTCAACTGATTGCCTTTCCTTTCCAGCGGAGCTGGCTTGTTCTTGTGGCACGACAGAATAGAAAACATGTCCCTTTTCTTTGATGCTGGATCTGTTTTCTGTCTATTGCCTCCTGGGGCCTGGATGGACTTTTCCTAATTCATGAAGTTTAACTTTTTTGAACGTTTTCTGTATATTTTGAAAATACCAATAAGTACATATGTATCCATTAGATACGTGTACAGAAATGTACATACATTAAGCTGTTTAATCTGGTGGGGGCTCCTCAATTGCCAGGCTTAACATTCCAGGCATATAGAGATTACTATAGAGCTTTCTGGGGTATGCGGCAACAAGTGAGGGAGGTGGGCGGTGGTGTGGCAGCATCGACAAGTTGAGACCGACGCCAACTTGTGCACACATACGCACATGCATCCCGGCCATATGGCCATATCCATATTTTATGGTTCAAACATTGCCCAGGAGTTGGGCCCAAGGTCCTCGGGGCTTAAACTGCAGTAGGTGCCGTCCCGATTATGCAACTTTCCCCCACCCCCAAGGATCTGCGCACACACACGCACACACATACATAGATTAAATAGTTTATGCTGTTTGCATGGCAGCTTGTTGCCGCTGTTAACCTGCTCTTTGACATTAAGCGAAACGCCCCGGACATGGACACGGTCCAGACCACGTAGTGGACATTGCCAAAGAGCGCTGTGTGTAAGGGGGCGGGGTGCTCCAGGTCCCACTATTTGTTTGTCCTTGTACGGTCCTTAATGTTCGGTCTCCAGAATCAAATTGGCCTTCCAGCGGCTTTTGTTTAACATCTACTATTTTTATTTTTACTTATTTTCCTACTTCGTAATTAGATAATTGTAACATTTGTAATTGGATAAATGCATTCGTTTATATGCTTTCAAACTTAATCATGTTTATTTTTCTTCATCGCAATTCTCAAAGTGTTTTTCTCCTATCCTCTTTCGTCTTCCTTCAATATTCTTCTTTAACAATTCTCTTTCTTCATCTTTCTTGTTGTTTAATACTTATTAATTTAACTTTCACATAACACAAAAGGCTGAAAAGGAATTTAGGTTGATCAATAGCAAAAGAATATTAATAATAGTGCATACATACATATGTATATAAAGATGAAAGATGAAAAGATGAAATGCAAATATTTTATAATTTAACCACCAACGAGACGAATAAGTCAGCAAACGGAATAATCAAAACAAACACCGTAAGAATCGGTGCGAGTGCTTTGCTGCTTGCATCGTTCTCTCTCTCCACACTCTCTTTCGCTTAAACGTCGCGCTACTGCATACTCTAACTTGCAGAGGATAGTATAACGGCTTCGAAGCTCGTGGTGTGTCTCCAATTGATTTTATTTTTTCTTTCTTGGGCTTTAACCAGATACTCGACAAAGGCCTTTTCGAAGATCGGTTTTTGTTTTTTTTTATTTGGTAATTTTTGGTAGAGTATTGATGCCGTGTTAAATTGTTGATTTGGTCGTTTCACAAATCATTTCGCATTTTCTTTCACAGTTCTTTTCTTGTTACAGTTAATTTTCCCTTCTTCTGTTTTTGGTCCGGCTGTGATCTTGTTTTCTGGTTTTCTTTATTTTAACTTTTAAACCAAAATTCACTAAACTCCCGAGATTGAACTAGCAAAATTCTGCTGCCATGGCCTTGCCTTCGCTCTGATTTCTTTCTGCTTTGTCTCCAGATGTTCTCGCCTTTTCCTTCTCCAAACGTTCAGCTCCGTTCGTTGACCCCGCTCTCCCGCTCCTGAGAATCAAAGAATGAGTCGGGAAGCCTAGCCGCTTTCCTAGGGTTTTCCTGCCGCTGAGTAAAATCTGATCTGTTATTTAAGGAAAGATTATGTCCGAATTTTCTTCGCAGAAAGAAATTCCTTGTTTTTCTCACCTCTCCACTAAACCCGTAATTTTTCCGTCTTGTGAACCAAAGAAAAGTGATCCAAAAACTATTCAGGAATAAATTCTTGAAATTCTTTTACTACAAATAATGCTGGGAGTTTTTTTTAAATATCCACGGATGCTTTTAATACTTCGCGATTAAATTTCCTTAATTACCAACGTAATGTGTTTAAATCTCCCGCCCAATCGATAATCAAAATCTAAATTAGAAGAAAATGAGTATCGGGTATAATTACAAACCAAAACTGTTTCTTGTTTTTCTGAAGCCCATGCGCGCTACAGATCGTAACATTGCCTAAAGCGTAAGCGACACTTTCGTTGGGTGTACGCCAGGGTGAGTGACAGTGAGAGAAAGTGAGCGCAGCAGAAAGTGAACTCTCTTCAGTCAGTCCGGCTCTCTTAAATGACAGTGCGGAAAATTCTCTTCCCGCGCAATTTTTAATCCGAAGGTAAAATTTAACTATTTTAGTAATACGCCAGAAAACTAATATTATCAAGAGCTAGACGGACAACAAATTTTAGAGCGATAAGCCTTTCACAAATCTACCGGATCTTCCCAGATTTTCTAAACAAGGCATGATTATTTCGCAGTTTGATAACCCTTGAACCACTGTGCGCTGTTCAGCGTCGAATTTGAATTTTTCGTTCTCATTACAACATCAAGAGAGACGTAAAGAGAGAGGAGAGTGAGAGAGGGAGAGCTAGAGAGCGGGAGATGTACTTCAATATTCATTTTGAAGAGACATAGAATACATCGCCAGAGCGTAACAACGCTGCTACACTCTCTTTTCCACTATCTTGCTCTCCCTCTCTCACGCTACGATGTTGCTGCTTTATTTCCCTCTCTCTCGCTTTGCGTGAGTATCAGTGTATCTGTAGCCTGTATCAGTGTGTGGTGCGCGTATCTGTAAAGAGCGCATATTACAAGCGCACTTGCTGCTACTTTTTCGCTGTTTCTTCTGCTGCGGGCAGCGCACTCTCGAAACTCACTCTGTGGCGCTCGGTTTAACGGTTAATTTGCTCCCCAGAAGCAGAAATCAGCGAACGAACGGTCGTCACCGAAGAAAAGCGTACTGAAAAGCATCGCTGTGCCGCCTCCCATTCTCCCCCCGCATTGTAAGCGCTACGAGACAGTGTGTTATTGTGTGCCAGTGAGTGTTGGTGTGTTGTGCAGTTTGCATACACACAGATACGGATTTAAATTAAATACTTTGGCTTAATTAAATACTTCCGCGGCATCCATCGTCGTTGCTGTGTCGCTGTCGGCGTTGTCTACGGTTATCGATTCTCGTTGTCCCGCTCGCACGCACGCACGTTGGTTCTGTTCTTGTTTGTTGTGTCTCGCCACAGTCGTCGTCGCCGTCGAAGTCCCAGCGTCGCTGTCGCTGTCGCTGTCGCCGTCGCGTTTTGTTAGTGTGTTTGTGTATGTGTGGAAAAGGGCCGCCGCGGCAGAGAAAGCAACAAAAGAAGGAGACTGTGGAAAATAGTAAATAAACCAGGTGCCGCCGCTTTAGGACAGGTGCAAAGAGCATATCACAACAGCCAGCAAAGGTAATGCCAAACAGGAAAAGCAGTTGGGGCTGCATAACGGTGAAAGTGATTTTTCGCAATGAGTGAAAGAGTGTGCTGTGTGTGTGTCTGTGTGAACAGTTTTTCCCCCATTTGCTTTGGCCTCGCCATTCGCGCTGGGCGAAGAAGCAACAACAAATGTTGAATAAGAAGAAGCAGCAGCAGAACTGGTAGCCGGAAGATTTTTCTGCGAGTTGCCACCCACGAAACAACGCCACAAAAAGGGCCAGAAGTTACTCTTCTCGCGGCGGCGCATTGATTGGGCTCTCTCCCTCTCTCTTCTTTCTCACTGTGGCACGCAGAAAGGTAGCAGAAACAGGCGCGTGGCAGCAGAAAAAGTAGTAGATTGCAGTTTTCGAGTTTGGAAATGCAGCCACGCGTTGCGTTGCGTTGCTTCCTCTCCTTCGCTCTGTGCTAGTGATGGCCTGTCTCTCCGTGCTCTCTGACCACCTTGCAACCCCTAAAGCCTGAACGCTCTCTCGCTGCGTTCCATACCTGTGAGTGTGCGCCGTCTCTGTCTGACGCTGTCGCTGCCGCTGGCCTCGTGTGTCCCCGCGCGATGCTCGTCTCGTGTCGTGGCTGTGTTTGACTCTCAGGCTTCATTCTTGCATTCGACTGACAACAGAGCAAGGTTCTCTAACGGTACAAATTTCCACTCTGTTCGTCCGTTCGTACGTTCGTAGTTCTGTTTCTCTGCCGTGTGTCCGTGTGCGTACGTGCGTGTGTGAGTGGTGTTTTGGCACTTTGCGAAATACTTATCGAATATTTTGCAGTGTAGGAAAAGCGTACTGCAGGCCCACTGGCAACTCTGCCACCCCACCAAACCCCACGTCTCTTCGGCAACCCAGCAGAACTGTCAAAAGCAGAAAACAGAACGGCACAGAACCCCATTCGCACGTCCGAACACTGAGAGTGCAGTTTCTTAAATTTTTGCGGTTCCCTTTTATTCAACAATGTGAAATTATCCAAATTTTAACTCGAAAGACAACAATAAAAACCCAAGTGAAATCCAAATTAAAATTTGAGAAATTGAACTGAAAATCACGGCCACAGACGTTGCATCGAAAATTTACTGTTGTTGCCGACGCGCCACCATTTTGTAAGCGAAATGCGAAAAGAGAGGAGAAAGCAGCAGCAGTGTGGAAATGGATGTGGAAAATGAAAATGAACAGAAAGGAAAACAATCAGTCCGTTGCCGTCGCACAAAAACAAAAAAGGAAAAGCGCCCGTCAGAAAGTTCACCGCTGCTGCTGCCGCCGCCGCCGCTGCCGCTGCCGCCGCGTTCCACCGCCCATCGTTCCCATCGTTCGGCTGTTGCCTGTTCCCGGTTTTTCGTGTGTTCCATTAATGAAAAATCCACCCCGGCGCGGATCCAGAGCGCGCCCCCACAAACAAAACAAAGTCGGCAGCAGAAGCAGCGGCGGCCCCGTCCGTCCGTCCGTCCGTTCGTCTGTCGCCCTTTGCCCTCTGTCTGCTGTGCGTGTGTGCTTTTCTAGATGTGCGTTTGTGTGTGCGGACGGGACGGGTCGGAGCATTTTCCATTTTCCATAAGGGTTGCACATCACACACAGGCGGCCGAAAAACTTTTCAAGTTTACTTTTATGCGATTTCCACAGTCGTTCTGTTCTGCTGTTTTACTCTTCATTTCCCCCCTCCTCCCACTCGCTTTTTACAAGTCACTCTGACGTTTCGGCCATTTTTCCCTTTTGTTCCTTCAATGCCTTAATTTTCGCTTTTCATTTTCCTTCTGCTCTCTGCTCTGTTTCTGTTTCTCTTTTGCCTTTCTTCGTTTTTGTTATTTGCCGGCGCTTTTCTGCTCCTGGTTTTTTTTGACAACTTTTCGAGGGTTGTTCGATGGTTTTGGGAGGCTCCTAGTTGGATTTCCTTGTTGATTAATGCGTTCCGATTGAGTTCCAATTATAACGGGAATTTCTTTCCGTTCGTTCCTTGTGGATAGATGAGAAAATATGATTTTTTTGCTACTTTTCTTTTAAATTGGTTCTGGTTGGAACATATTTCCAATTGAATAGTTTTCTTCATTTAGCAGCTCTCCCAATACTAGATCTCATTAGGGCTCTCTTTGAAGTACGAATATGAATGGAAAATAATTGCAATTTAAATGATTTTCACAATTTTGAAGCGGGGAAACGTGCTCAAGTGGAGCACACGGTGGCGAAATGACACATAAATTTAAGAGATGATAATATAAATATTCCCCTCCTTTGATCCGTTTCTAATAAAGGCTTTCCCTTTCTCTCTCTCTCTCTTTCTCTATCTCTTTTTGTATCCGTTTTGCAGCTGGTTCCACAATCACAGAGAAACCACATGAAAACGGAAAATTTATCACGCAAATCAAAAGTGCAATAAAATTTGAAAGTGTTTTACACTGCGCTACAGGAAGCTGAATCGAGGCTGAGAATAAACAAACAAGCAAGAGAGCTACACTACCAACAGGAACAACAACATTAGCAACATTTAAAACAAACAAACTAACAAACAAACAAGAAACATTAACAGAAATTACACCAACACCAAATAACAACAGCTACAACAACAACAACAACAACAACAACAACAACAATCGCGCGCGTTTCACGAGCGTTTGTCCGACACAAAAAATACAAAGAAAAGAAATAAAGTCTCAGGTCTCACGTGGAGGCAGAGACAGAGCTTTGAAGAGAAGAAGAAGAAGAAGAGGTCGCGTAGTCGCCAGATCGTTCCGATCTATTGTATAACCCCCCCTTTTATCGCACGCGGAGTCGAGGCTTAGGCCCCAAAAAATCGCCAAAATTCTACACCAACAAGCTTTAATCAGCCCCGAGATTTCGCTCCAGTTCGCAACGGCGACCACAATGCCCTACAACGGCGCCAGCAACGGAAGCGGAGGAGCCGGCGGCGGCGGAGGGGCCACCATAGTCGTCAGCGAGGGGCCCCAAAACAAAAAGATCCGCACCGGTGTCCAACAGCCCGGCGAGAATGATGTGCACATGCATGCTAGGGTGAGTACCTCCAGAATCTATGTACCTACATTCCACAATTCTCTGGGCCAGATCTGTCTCCATAAAGCTCAATGTCCTTGTCGGGTGGGTGGATAGCAGCACGGGGTGGATGGGGAGATCCACTCTTGCCACCCTTATCAGACACAAACAATAGTATTCCCGGCACTCATCCATTCAATCGGCTCTCACCACCTTTTTCCTGCCCGCCTGTACCTTCGGTGGCCGCTGGGCGGCTGGACTAGCTGATAATTCCCGCTACGGGGTGGTAGTTCCCCGATAAAGTTTTCCCTTTTTTTTTTGGGGGTTGAAGTTCCCAAATGCATGGAGCTCTCTCTCTCTCTAATGGCAGCTTGCATTGCTTTTATCCGAAATATAGCGCAGAGACCGTCTCTAACATTTCATAGTGCTGATAACATTTCGTGGGATAGAAATAAAGCAGCAATTGGAATATTCTTGGAAACACCTTTTTGTATCATTTCCAATAAAGAAAAAAGCGAGCATTGATATGGTTGGAATTATGAAGAAATCTTCAAGCATACCATTTGGATACCATTTGGCACCACTTCCAGGAAGAATCAATAGAGAGAATCATTCTTTAGAATTAGATGGGTATGTTTTCAGGAAATTGAATTCATTCTTGCCTGTAAATTCGTTTCTATAATGGAAACGAAACTTAAACTTAAACTTAAATTGAAACATCCTGTGGCTTTTACAATTGGCTTGCAGCATTCTGTGGCCGCCGGCGACAGCTGTAATTTTCCACGGCCCAAGCCCAAGCCCAAGCCCAAGCCCAAGCCCAAGCCGAAGCCCAAGCTCTCTGTTGGCACTGGCACCCACGACGCCTGGAGCAGCAACAGAGACGAGGCAGCACAGAAACAGCCGCGGCAGTGTGGCAATTGTTGCTGCTGGGGCTGGTTGGAGGGTTGGAAAAATCGATTTCCACCATTGCCACCGGCTGTCTGCTGCTCGCCGGCCCCTTATCTGCTCGAGCCGATAAAAATAACATTGGGTCCTATGCACAGAGTCCAGCCAGAGTCGACAAATAAAAACCGAAAACATGATAAAACATGGCCCAAGAAGGCGGGCTCGCGCCCGTGTTCGATAGTGTATTAATTCCTGTGGGGCAAGGCCTGGAGGCAGCCCCGGCATGGATATTACTTCATTTCGGTTGCCAGTTGTGGCATGGAAAGATGGCTGGGTGGCACGTGCATGAAAGGAGCACGCTCTTGCGGCCGCGCAAAGTATGCAACAATTTTTCCCGTCCCTTAACTAATGGCATTGCCTGTGTGTGTGTGTTTGTGTGCTGGTGTGTTGGTGGATGCCTCATTTCTCATTTGGCATTTGAGCTGTTGCTTCCGCTTGATGTTGCTGCTGCTCCTGCTGCTGATGTTGCTCCTCCTCGTTGTCGTTGTCGTCGCCCACACTTGACTTGACAGCGCAATTAGCACATGAAGCAGCATCTTCTCGTCATTTCAAGCGTTTGGGTCGTCACCGTCACCGTCACCGTCACCGTCGCCTGTCTGTCGCTCTCTGCTCTGCAGGCCCTTTGCCGGACTGCCTGGCATCTGCCACTTGGCATCGTTTACGCTCTCCTGCCTAGACGTGCCACTGCCACTGCACTGCATACCTGTAGGCGCCCCAGCGCGGACAGGAGCGAGCGAGCATCGCCGTTGCCGTTGCCGTTGCCGTTGCGTACGTGCCTTAAACGTCACTTCCTACGTGCCCAAAGGGCAGCGGGCAAAGAAGGAGCGAAGCAGCCATGTGATTAAGTGCACTCGTAGGCGGATGCGCTGAATCCCATGGACTAAAGAGAGAGAGAGAGAGAGAGAGAGAGAGGGGCAGGTTAAACGATTTAGTTCTTGCCCTTTTTGCTAATGCCGCTTGAACCAGAGATCAGACATTGCGGCCCCCTTCAGGGGTGCTGCCGTGTGTCGCCTAGGCCTGACCTACTAATGGTGGCACGCGAACGAACCGAAAGGGAAATCCAATAGCAAATGGGAGAGAACGAGCACTTGAGCCCGGAAATGCCACACAGACTCAGGTCTCGGGAGGAACAAGTTCTTCGTACTTAAATGCGTTAAAAAAAAGAAGTTTTCAGGATTCGAAAGATCTTGGATTTAAGAGCTTCAAGCAGGCGAGCATCTGGCAATTCCTTCCGGGCATACGGTCAAATCAAATGTAAAGTGCACGTCCCCTGATTGAATCTTCATCATTCCATGCGGGTCAGCAGCATGTCTGCCTTTTGCACTTTGCCACTGCCACTGCCACTGCCACTGGCATTTCCATTGATGCATTCTGAAATACGTTGGGATGCGGCAACGTCACTCACTCACTCCACTGTCGCCGATGTGTCTGGGAGCATGACGCATGCCACTCCACTCCACTCGCAAAATTCTGCATCCAGACTGGAGGCCATAAATAGAAGGGGCACACACTCCTCCTGCCGCCGGACAAGGGGCAGCCACCCACCACTGGATTGGCAGCTGGAGTAGGAGTAGGAGTAGGAGTAGGAGTAGGAGTGATGCAAAAAGTCAGAAGGTATTTTTTGGTGGTGCGTCTGGAGGCCAACCAAACAATCCACACATCCGTCCCTTTGGGGTGCCCACCCATCCCCGTTTCGTTGCTGATGCAACAGTCAAAATGCATTTGCCAGAATCTGTCTGTCTCTGGGCCTGCGGCCTCTGGGCATCGGCTGTTAATTGAATGCATCACTCCGGGCAACACGGGGGCTGTGCAGCAACTGGAGATGCACTCGACTCGACTCCACTCCACTCCACTCCACTCCACGGGGGTTGCAAGTTGCAAGTTCTCTTTAATCATGCTTTGTTTTTACCTTTTGGCTAGCTTGCAACGCTGGCTTTTTTACTAGAAATAATTGATTTTCATTGTCTCTGGTCCGCGAATGTCCGCGTGTATGGAGGGGTGGGCTAGGTGGCTGAAAGGGTTGTTTGTGCATCTGTCCAGCCGTCCATCCTTGGGGGTTTATTACACCCTCTGATGCTGCTTCTGCTGCTGCTGCTACAGGGTTGTGTAATTGAGCTAATTGAAAGTGCTGCTTGTCGCTGCTAGTTACCGTAAGAGTATCTCCACCTTACCGCATGTATCTCTAAGGAACTTGAACTTTCGATTGTAGCCTTTGGCACCGCTAAGAAGTTTGCTATTTCTGGTACTGACATTCGATCTTTTCGATGTTTGATTGATTTTCCGTATGCCGTACTGAAGTTTTCTTCTTTTGGCCTCAGCAAATGAAATTTCCTGCCTGATTGGCATTTCAAATGAGTCGGAGACAGCTGTGGCTGTGACTTTCGGACGACACTGTGAATAATAAGTTCTGTTGCTCATATTTCGGTCAAAGCCATCATAAATTCAAAATCGAATGGAAAGTCATGCATGTTCGGCAAAATATGCTTTGGGATTTCTATTCGAATGACCTGTAAATCAGTCGCATTGGGGAACTCAATTTCCAATTGCTGTATTATTATTCTTATTCGTTCAAGCCATTATTTTTTGTAGTTTCAATTGAAAATCTATATATTTTCTATTTCTTTATTGTCTGAAATTTAAAAATTGTTGACTTGGCTTCGCGAAAATTCAATAGTTTCTTAGCGAAAAAAAATGATGTCAGCCTTTTAGAAATCATATTAGTTTCCTCTTTTCCTACAACCAGAGAAAAAAGCCATGAAATTTTAATATTTACACCTATGTATATTTAAAAATATATACCCATCGATTTTTTCCGAGAGTGGAAATTGTCAAAATGAGTGTGTTTCTGCTACATTTTGACTTGAATATGAAAATACTTAATTTAAATATTTAGTTTTTTATAAAAGTGTTCCTAATGTTTTTAATATTTATATTTATTTATCTAATTTATTCTCAAATCAAAGTGAATTCTACATAATTTCACTGTTTGCATTTTTAGACCGAATTTTAAATTTCAATAGGCGTGTGTTTCTTTTTACTACCTCATTTTTCTCCGAGTGTATGCAGATAAATATTTATCCAATAAATAAAATATGCAACACTCACGAATGATGAAAATAGTTTTAATTTCTGCATCTCAAATTAAAGTTTTGAGTTAACATATCCTAGAATTGGATTTAATAACTTCATTGCCTGCCAAGAAACCACAGCCATGATGATGATGATGCGGCTGACGAGCTCCTTGGTTGGGCCTCAAATTAACACCTTGTCATTATTTTTTATTCTGGTTTCATTCGGTGGACTGCACAGACAGACGACAGCGTAATAAGGCGATTTGCTGGCATTAGGAAAACGTAATCTAAACAAACAACCAACAAAAAAAAACAAAAAACACTCTTCCAAAAATAAGTTGTCAGGCAATTTCTTTTCAGTTTTCGTTCTGTTCGGCGGAGGTGTCCGCCTTAAACTCCAATTACCAGAAATTATGAATCGTGTGGGGAAAGAAAAAAGCATAGAAGAGAAAACAGAGCAAAAAAAAAAAGAAAACAGAAAAAGAAAAAGTTCAATTTATGCCCCTTGTGGCCACTATCCCATTCCGATCCTATCCGTTCTGCTGCCCCTGCTGTTACTTCTGCTTTCTTTATGTTTTACTTTTTTGATTCTTTTCTTGTCTCTTATTCTCGTTTACTTACATTGCCTTGAGCGGGGCGGGGGGGGCAGTATTGTCGTGCATTTGCCGGATGTCGTGCTGGGTCTCCCCCTCTCTCTCTCGAAGGTCGGAAGTGTAGTTTTTTAAGTACACGCTTATATATAATTTGATATATGGCTCATTGTCATTTTGCCATCTTCTGGTGGACATCTACCAGATACAGCTACAGCTTCTGCAACTGTATCTGTATCTGTATATGTATCTTATTCTGCGATATCTGAGGGAGCACCCGTTCTTTGGGGGTCAGGATAGTGTGTTTTTTATGGAGAACAAAGTTGAACAAGGTCATCCAGAGATGTTTCTTCCCTTTCACATGAGAAGTGGCTGAGGTGGAAGAACCCGGGGGGAATTCTTGGAAAATATCTGC